TGCACTAATGTGCAGTCATTTTGTGCTTGTAATCAACAACAGAAAATCAATACCCTTGAAATGGTTCATTCAATTACAAGTAAAAGCAAGTTAGCCTCACTCCACTCACAATCTTTGGAGGCAAATGTTTAAAACTTGAACACTTTTAAGCTAAAAGACTCTTTCATAACATAATTTCAAAGCAATAAATCGTGATGGTATTACAATTTGAATGATTTACTGTGCACACACTTTCAAAACATTAAGCTTTTCATTATTGAAGAGAATTTCTCGATAAAGAAAACAAAACTTTTTGATTGCAATGAAAATTCTTAAATCGTTTTCAAACTCGAATTTATGTTCTCCTTATTAGTGCCAATAAGCTGTAAACTCTAAAGAGAATTTTTATACTCTAACACCGCCTGCGAAGCAGAGTATATTACGTTTGTGCGAACGTATGCAGCACTTTTTATTACACCGTTCAATTCAGAGTGGTTTTCTGTTGCGATCCAAGCTTTCCTGTCCGTTTGTCCATCTGACGTGGGTCCATGTGCTCATATGTTCAACTTGTAGGTCGATCTTTTCAAGAGGTTTTGATGAAATCTAGTATACTAACGCAATCGAAAACAAATGAGAACATTATAGTCGGGCGACGTCGACTATTACTTTGCCTAGTATAATTATTCCTTGGCTTTGGTAGTCAGACATCAAAGCTCGCATATTGGAAGGTTCGATTTTCTCTGTATAGTGTTGAGCTCTCTAAAATGTAATTATGCGCCTGGACCTGACGAAAATTCATCATGTGTACTTATATCTTGTGCTGGCGAGCTATGCGGTTTTATCTCATTGTAAATCTATTAAAGCAACTTTCCTTAATATGCCCGATTTACCTATGTCGTAGTTAAATTGACATTTGATTCTCAGTATCTCAGTTTTTATTTAAAATAATATTGTGTTGTTAATGTGTTGGTTGCCAAGCTTATGCATGTTTGCAATGGTTTAGGGTTAGGTTCACTTGCAACCTGGATCTGTTTTTGTTGCGGGTGTGCTTCTATGCTAGCTGTGTACCTGCTTTTCTTCTTTTTTTTTGTCTCTTTTTATTTATTTGTACAAGAATTATTATTTTTTTCTATTATTATCCTTTTTTCTGCCTTTTTATTGTTTACTAGTTTTAAAACAATTAGTATAAGATTTTCTATTAAGATGCACTGAATTCGACTATAATTTTCTTTAGTTGAATTTCATGTATAAATAGGTAAAATAAAACTAAATAAATAAATAAAATAAGTAAATAAAGTAATAAAAATTAAGTCTTTTTCGGAACGGCTTACTACTCATGACATCTCTTATATGGAGTGGGGCCAAGAAGTAGATCCATGTGGTTTAAACAAAGTCTATTTAATTTTTTTTATTCAATTACTGTCATAAACAAATTTTCATTACAAAAAACTCTTACAATTAGGCTTTCTTGACATATACGGATTTACGTTTTATGAGAATCTTTACATGCGGTGGCATTCAAAAAATAGACCTATGTAGTCCAAATTCGGTAAAGTGGATTTCTTTGTCAAATTATAAGCAAATTTTCACCATGAAATAGTGCAAATTCGATCTCTTTACCATATAAAGCTTCAATTTCTGTAAGGACGATTATATGAGAGCGGGTTCAAAAAATTTCGCCAGCCTATCGATAGATTTTACACCAATTTGGAATGCTGAAACACTAGTTAACCACCTTTGCTTTGAATTTTTGAAAACTGCAATTATTCCTCATTTAACGACTTGTCAGAATAGGCTGCTATATGGGGAGTGGTCGAAGAAGTTGACCAATCCGAATCATTTTCAATAGCATTCGTCCTTGGGTCAAAACAAGTCATTGTACCAAAGTTCGTCAAAATATCTCGATAATTGCAACCTAACATCAGACGGGCAGACGGATAGACAGATCGATTAGATTAGATCGATTTAGAAAATGATTCTGAATTGATCGGTATAATAAAAAGTGCATGCATCTTAAGCGCTTCCGCGCGTTGCGTGCGTCCGCACTAACTTAATTCTGTACCACAATTGGTGTAGGATACAAAAAGGGGTACATTTTTTTCCATTTCTTATTACTGTTATTATTATTCACTTAACCAGAGAAATAAGAGAATTTTTAAATTAAAGTCTTAGAGCACTGGCATCTGCGACTATCGGCTTTATTGAAAACTCTTATATTGAAGAACGTATCAACGCTTCTTGGTTGAATTCCTCTCGCTCTTTGCCTATCACCTTTCACCTGTAACTTCTTTAAGCAAATGTTACTCTTTTGAAAACAGGTCACCAACACCAGCTTTTGTTGTGTCTTTTTTGTTAATTCTTTCTCTTGTCAACTTGCCTGTGAATTGCTGTTAATCTTTTCGTCACTGACCAGCTGCATAAATCTTCTCTTTACTTTATATCGTCGACGGGTAAAGCATTGCAAACCTTTAATTGCTTTAAACATTTTAAGAAATCTCATTTTCAGTAAAATCACGTAGGTTTCGTACTTAATTTATGAAATCATTTTAATTATCGACATCGTCTTGTTATTGCTAGTCATATTCAGGAAGGTAGGATAAGCAGGGTAAGGTAAGGTAAGGTCAACAATTTTCTACTTCGTTAATTCACTTGAATCAGATCACGTTTTTGTATATGATATTCACTTGCATCTTACTGGTTCAGTGAGTAAGTGTTAATCTAAACAACATCTGTTTTCGACAGGACGAGAGATTGTGGCACACAGCATCCCACACGATTTATTTTGTGGCAAGTTTGATGAAATCATAAATTGAGGAAATTCCTGGCCTCGTCTTTGGATTACATTTTGGAGGGTTATTTGCATCAATCTTCAATAAAAGCGAATATTGAGCGTATTATTGATGAAATTACCTCAAGTGGAGGGAACAAAGTGTACTCAAAAACTAGGATCATCGAGATCGTTTTTGTAACAGGAAACTTGGAATTGGTAAATAAATAAATATCTTGAAATAGAGAGATAATTTTTTCATTCAATCTATTGATGCTTTGATGAGAGCTTTGTTTACACGGCAGTAGGACTACCCTATTCAAATTGCGTCCGTGTATGAACAAGTAGTTTCTTTTTCTTAGGTTGGCATCACTGTAACCAGCATCTGTATTGAATCTTATGCCAATATTTTCCATAGTAAATGATATATGTTTGGTTTCTCAATCGAGAGAAAACGATGCCCCTTGATTTGTTGCCCAATTTCGAAAATAGCAAGAAGTGAAGAGAAGAAGAAGAAAAGAAAAAATAAAGCGAATGGAACGTAAGCAGAACGATAAAAAGCAAATGTCTGCAAAAAGGAACGCAATGCGAGAAACTGCATTATCCTGGTACTAAAACGAATAGTCTATAATTCTGGCTTAGAGCTCCGAAGAAAATAATTCGTACTAAACTTTACTGCGATAATCGAAGAATGAAATTTTTTATTACTGTTACAGTTTATATATGTATAAAACGTAAGCAATCGTTATTTTGTGCGATTTGGCAGCAGTTTGAAGGTAACAAACTAAATTAGGATGAGTAAAAATACTCTACTGGGATACGATCTCCCGTTAAACACTCTACAGTCTTTTACACTTATTCATATAATAACTTTTGAAAACAAAGTGTTATATGGGAAGTAGCAGAACAAGTGGTCCGATCGCAAGCATTTTCGATAGAGTCCATCATTCAGCCAAAGCAAATGAGTCATCAAAGGTATCTGAAAAATTTCGAATTGTAGGTTGAGCACAAGGAAGCAAGACGGACAGACGCACAGACCCGCTTAATTCAACTCAGATAGTGATTTCGAATCGATCGATATAATTAAAGGTTGGCACTCTGGGTATTGAATTCGTCTCGGCGAACTTATTATACCCTTGTGCGACAAGTTGTGTCAAGCGCTCGAATATTCAATTTTCACATTCACGAGATTTTGTAAACCAATTATGGCACTGGTCTTCTGTCAATACATCTTCTTCATGCATACTCAATCATTTTTCTCTTGCTTCAATACCATTCATAGTTTCAACTTTCCGTAGCATATAAGGCAGCGAACAAAGGCTATTCCGCAGAATCAAAGAAATCTTTTCAAAAACACATCTTTCTATTGCACCCGTTAATATGCGTAATGACAAATTCGGCTCAAGTCTCTACAATTAAGTCCACTTTTGGAAAAAAAAACGAAATTACTTTCCGAACTACCCATTACACATGTATACGGTGTTTTGAAAATTATTTAACTGACTAACTTGACAGTTTTATTAATAAAAGAATTACACCTCGACTTAAAGGTTTCATTTAAACATTTCACTGTGGTAAATGGACTATACTTGTATCATCATTTGAGGTAAAACCTTTACCAAATTTGGGTCACGTCTGTTGGTCTTTTTTTGTATCCCAATTCGCATCAGCGCACTTATGAAATGTAAGACTTCAAATGGCAACAAAGCCGAGTGACGAATAGTAAAAAGGTCCATGGCAAGAAGATTGATTTCAATGAATTGTGCTCAGGTTAGTTCACATTTTGGACTCTTTTCCTTATAACGTCTACCATGCGAAGTAAGTTTTTTCGAAAATAAAGGGAGAATCATGTTAGGTGAAGGTATGTTCGCTTCGAGTTGTGATGCGAGGGGAAAATTTGCCATTTAATTTGTACCGAGGATTAAGTTCGTCGTTGCGTCAGGTACCCTGACAAGAAATTATTATTATGATGTCCCATAAGCTTCTTCCTTTTTTTGTTGATGCGAAATCAATAGGTGACAGATCCCATCTTGATTACATGACTATGTACCGTTGTCTTGTGAATGTTAGTGGTATCTACTACACAGCGAACACCATATCGCAGATTTTCCCCGCATACTCTTGATGAGGTCTGTATCCGCCGCTGCTGCCTTCACCCAGCCAGACAGTTCTAATCGTCCTAGTACCAGTCCCATAAACGGTACAAATCTCCTCTACAGTGTCCTTTGCACTACTATTTTTGTTTCAGACTTACCGCTTCGTCGTTTATGAACCAATGTAAATGCGAAGCTGGATGTGATTTGCCTGAGGTACAATTTAAATCTAAAGTTTCTCCAATTTGATACTGTGGTTGTTGCCCTCTGATGTACGGCCCGTCACGGGGAAGATCTGTAAAGTTAGGTAAAATAAAGGTAAAATAACAAATTTTTTTTTAATCTTAACTACGTAAGCAGAGATTTTTATTTAATTTTTCATTTATTTATTTATTTACTTACACATGAAACTCAACTAAAATAAATGAATAGCGGAACTCAATTGATTTTGAGAAGCAAATCTTATACTAATCAGTATTAAAAACCAATACAAAGCATATAAGAAGTAAAGAAACAAAAAGAAAAAAAAAAAAAACAAGTAAGAAAATTATATTCGGTGGTAATCGAACCTTTTATATCGATACCGTTATCCTAAAAGAAACAAAAAAAATTAAAGAACTAAATTTTCATTCTTCATAACATGGAGTGGGCGCGGGTGATGTTTTCTCTTTTCAAAATAAAATTTTTTGACCCATAAGCGATTGGGTGTTGTAGGCGTGTTCTTGGAAAAGTTTAAGTCAATTTCAAATTCTTTTGCAAATTTGTAGGCAATATCTTCATTAGTCACACAGTTGCGCGGATAGACACATGGACCGATGAATAGAACATGTTTACGTGCATTCCAAATTTGAAACTGGCTAAGAATTTATATACTTTTGGAGTTCTCAAAGCTTGCTTCTGGGCTTTATAAAGGTATTGCAAAGTAAATTCACTTTTGGTACCCTATAATATTGGGTAAGCGTGGTCAATTTTTTCCATCTTTGTGCGCATATGCTACAGCGTCGCCCATGGAATAAGCATTCAAACTTATGTACATTTACCTCCTATAGGTTATGAGTTATGAGAAGAAAAGCAATTTTTCATTCCTTTTGAAAAACAGAGGTGTTCTCAGTTTACGTGGTGCTGTGGGTGTCCGTTTTATTCTATAGATTTGGTCCATTTTCAATACCAACCTTCTAATGTTTCTGTGAAATTGGAAGTCGTTGGCTTCATTTTTGTTGCCACGAGAATGTTTACAACAGACATTACGCAGACGGACAGGCAGTGACGGGCGGACGGATGAACATTGTTAAATCGTTTAGAATTTGATGATGATTAAGAACACATACACCCTGTGGGATCCCTGGCGTTTTCTCCTAGGCGTTGTAATCGTTTTGGCAAAATGAATAAATCGTGCAACACTTGGTGAATTGCAACCAAAATTGAAATATTTAATAAAAAGAAGGCATTTCAGCTGTACCACAAATCTTATAGCTAATGTTGAGTACAAACGAGTCCACCTTATGTCTTTTCATAGCCTATACCACTGATGGTGCAAGGATTTGTTAATTTTGTGCGGATGTATGCAACACCCGGTAGGATCCACCTTTTATTATACCAAGAAAGTGACTTTGAATCTATCTAACCTTGTCACTGGGGTTGTCCATCTTGTCCTACGGGCCAAAACGTTTGAGCTATATTGATGAAATTTGGTACACCGATATGCTTCGCGCCAAGGACGAAGGATATTGAAAATATTTCGGATCGGACTGCTTTCTATATATAATACATTATTTTGAAGGTCGCCATATGAATTTTATTAAGTGTATTAAACGAAGTAGTGTAGCTTTTTTAATAGCTGACTGCGTACCGCTGTAGCGTTGTCACTTGTTTGGTGTTGCATATGTCCGCACAAATTGAATACACACTTACCAGAAGTGGTGGATAGTTTACGTAAAGTAAAGCAAAAGGCTTTATAGATTACATGTAAGCTGCACGAGGGTCAGCAGTCCACTTGATATCCATGTCTATATAGAGGAAGTTCTTAGGAATGGAATTTGCTAGTTGTGATAGCAAGTCCTGTCTGCTAGGTACGGTCCTTCGGGGAATATTATGGTGGCTGAGGTTTTCATCATTCATAACATGAATAATTGGAGGTAAGCATAGGTCTCAAGATTTCCCAAAATGCCTTTATTGGGGCATGCACAATAAATAAATCTGGTTCTCAAGCTGTAGTTCAGGCCCCTAGTTTATGGAGATTGTCTAAGTCTGTTGAGAGCGTGGGTTACGCACGACCGGGTGCCGTGATGTGAGGCTTTATAACAAGTACTCGCGTTAACCCAAAGGTCCATACATTACCTGTATGCATATATATAGATTTTATCTAATCTCTTGTTCCAGTTAAGCTTTTATCATTTTGTTCAAATTATTTTTAATAGTTTTAATTAAGCTTTGCACTTAAATGTTATTTGTATACTTACAGACCACATCCATATGACCCTCGGCTTCAACAGATGAAAAGTTGGGAGCTTCTGCTGAAATTTCGCAGCGATATAAGCCGGTAGAATTTATTGTTAAACCTTTTAATAACACTCGACTGCTGTCGGAATGTTCTTCCTGATGAGAAAAAAATATAAAATAAATTATAGTTTATTTGCAAACATAACAAGTAAAAACATTATAGTGGACTACGGCCGATCATTAAGTACCACACACCATCGTACAATTATTCATGTCAGTGCATCAAATTTCATCATAATAGTGGCTTGTAGATTCAACAGAAGAGTAGATGGACAGACAAGCATAATTCAAATCAGAAAATTCTTCTGAATCGATTGGTATAATATAAAGTGGGTATATTTGAAGCCTTTCTGGGTATTGCATACATCCACACAAGCTTAATATATAAGTAGTGTAGAATATAAAGAGCTAGAGACGAGTCAGATAAATATTCTACGTTAACATATTATTGATTGTCGTCGTAAAATACATACTTTTCGTGTGAACTCTTCTACAAGTGGTCGGAAAATTGAACTAATGCGGTCCAAACTTAGCGCGGTAAATTTTTATGCCTAATCGGTATCCAGGATCAATTTTCGTCATAAAACAGCAAAAAACAAACTTTATTGTCTTATGAAGGATTAGTTTCTGTAGGAACTTTTATATGAAAAAATGCTCGTCTTCGGTTCAAATTTTCCACATTGGCAATCGTTAGTCGGGAATAGAAAAACTTGAGCATAGAAACAAGACATGCACAAATTAAAGGCAAGTTGGACGCTGTGTAATGGCATCATTTCTTACTATCATGAAATTTTAGGTAAATAAATTGAAACGTGACCGTGGCAGCTTAAGTTACCACGAGCGGTCTATACGACTATAAACTGTAACCTATAACGAAAACATATTCACTGAGTGGTTCCTGACCACCAAATTAATGTGAGAGACATAGCAGAGATTATGAACATTTTCAAAGAAAGTGTTCATCACATATAGTGTCTAGATTTCGATACGAGAAAGTTGAAAGCATTTGCTCGCCGGCAAAGCATTTTGAGCGCAGTTTAGGCGCTGTGGACGAGGGTTTTAGCTTCGTTTAATTGTTGAAGATGAAACTTGGATGCACTATTCCCTTTGAGAAATAAAAACGGATCCAAGAGCAACGGCGACGGTTTTCGTGGACAGCCATGAAGTTATCTTAACCGGGATATTCGGCTATATCTGTTTCGCCATTCTTCTGAGCTATCACTAAATTTTGCGCTAAACGACTTTCGCTTGTTCCCTAAGCTAAATGTTCCGCTAGCAAGACAGAGATTTGATAGCAATTTTGCCAAGGAAAGCTTCCACTATTTGGACGTAATAAAGGGAAGGGAGAAAGCGTGACTAGGAGACCTGTGTAAACTTACAAGCAGCCTATGAAGTGACAAAAAAAGTAAATTTAAAGAAACTTTTCTGGCAACGCCCTTGAGTTTGTAATCGATTAGCTTTCTATTGAATACGAATGAAGAGATTATTCTGAATAGGTTGAAATTTTCTGGATTATGCTTAAATTCGGACAAGAAAGTATTCATCGTAAAGGACTTTTTCTAGCTTAAACTTTGATATTTCTCATCCATGTTTTATAGGAATCACAAACCAACAAACAAAAGCAATAATGGCAGATATATTAAAATGTTTACTTACAATCACTTGCACGCCATCAACTCTATAACTAGTTTTTGGTGGTTTCGCCTTTGGCACATAACGATAAAATTCCTCGCTGTCTTTGTACCATTTTATGGCATACAAAGCCTCACCTTCTTCCTCCTCATTATAATCTTCTTCCTCTTTCCCTTCCTTTTCGTCATCATTAAAATGTTCATTGTAATCACCGAAACTATTATCAGCTTCGTTATGCCCGAAACCGTTCATTTTATGAATATTATCATCGCGTTTTCCATATATATCTGGGTTATATGAATTAATTGCTTCTAAACGATTTCCGCCAATTGGACTTACGGATGGTGAACTTCTCCCCCGATATATGCTTTGGCTATCCGATGATGAAAATGGTGTTTGATAATAAGCATGCTGATATGATGTATGCTGTGAGAGTGACTGTTGATAATGGTACGGTTGATTTTGTTTTTGTATTCGTTCTTCATAATACTGAGCGTGATAAGGCAGTTTCCGTTGCTGATATGAATGAAAACGTTGTGTGTGTTGTTGTTCGTTTTTATTTTGCAGATCCTTTTCATAGTATGCATGCCGTGAGTAGCGTTGTGCTTTAGTATCCTGTTGACTTTGGTGTGTGCGGACACGTTTACTTGTGAACCATGCGTCATTTTGTGAATCATATTCATGGTCACGATTAGGACTATAGGAATTTATCAAGGACATATCTCTTACTTTATCCAATTCGTATTGACACTCAAGAAATACGGATTCACCTCTTAATTTATACGATGGTATTGATACCTTCAAAAGTCGTAGCGCAGCAAAGCCTATATGGGGTAAGTAAAGAGTATATGACGAATATTGATAGTAAAATAATTTTTGTTCATTCTTCTTAGCTATTATAATATTTGTAAACGGTATTTAGTTAGTAATACATTATTGATTGATATCTCATATATATTAAAGTCGACCATAACTTGAAAGAAGTTTTAAATGAATTCTAAGTTGCTTTGTTGTAGCAGTAATGTAAGATCAAGCTTGGTATATATTCTTCAGCTCTATCAGGGAATGCTGAAGGCATAGTAGATACGTCACTGTGTTTCTAAAATTCACGAAAGAACTCAAAAAATGCGTGTGCTCTGGAATATCACAAAGTTCTTACTTGTTTCAGCCATTTTCGATCTTCGTACGGTTTATGTATCTATAGTTTATTAACTATGTGGGCAATGCGTACCGTGACCTAAAAGATCTGCTGTACTCGCCCGTGCCCGTAGCCCGCCAGTTTTAGTATTCTTATGAAGCCCACCACCTTCTTTGCTTCGAAGCACCATACAGTGGCGTTACAAAGTGTACGTTGGTGTCTGACTCTGCAGATGGCCTCGAATTCATGTAGCATGTCGTAGGATGTCCCTTAGCGAAATCTGCATAAATCGGCGTCAGAGATATTTGCGTTTTTCGGGTCTCAGGTGTCCAGGCACCCGTACTAGGTGCATGTGACTGTGCTTGCTTCACTCATTCAATATTTGAGTGTTGTCTATAGTTAATTGAAACGCTAATGGTCACTAACATTGACATATTTGTTGTGCTATAATTGTCCTTAACACTCATAAGATAACTATGAACATATCGAACTGTCCGTCCGTCCGTCCGTTCATCCATGAACTTTTAAATGGCTTTCAATTTATAGCAATCACTCAGAGCAAGTCGCCTATTCGTCTTAACTGCGCCTCTCAGAAAGAAGAGAAGAAGGACAAAGAAATAGGGAGGCAGCCCAGAGGATATATGACCAATCGATAAGTGTTATGCCTTTACCGACCGAGCACTCACTACAGCTTCCGCCAAAGACAACTCTACCGCACTTGAGATTTGAAGCCGCGAACATTGTTTGGTATTCGCGGTTCTCACCTGCTCGGTTACTCATGCGAATACATAATCAGTAGCCGGATTGCTTTATAAATCTTTGTAATTTTAAAGTTTGAAGAATATCGGACAGGTTTTTTTCTTATAATACGGCGAATCATCTCTCGTCGCCCGCTAAATATTGAAGAAGAAGAGTCATAGGCAATGTAAATTCAGAAAATTTACAGGGAAATTGCGCTTTTCTTTAGTACCTCATATATTGTAATACTTATATATAACATTCCTTATCATACCTTCGTTTAAGAAACATAATGATTACGCTATGCGTTTTGCGTGGCACACGGACTGTCAAAATGAAATTGATTGTGTGTGCATCTGTATATAGTTGAACATTCACACAACACAACAAATTTTCGGCCTAGTTTTTGATAGACAAAGCAGCGATGTATTTATTTATGAAAACAAAACAAAGTTATATGGTTTCGAGCTTTAAAACTGTTATTTATATTTTTATTAATGGTGTGAAAAACAAATAGAAAGGAGAAAAAATTAAGCAAAATTAAAATAGATATTTGCATTTTTATTACTTGGCATTCAGCAGAAAGAAGAATAAATTAAACTAAATTAAACAAATTGAAAAATGAAAGTTAAAGTATATAAATAAAACTTAATTAGTTCGAAGATATGTGAATAGACTATGGCGGGACGTGGCCCATCATTAAAAACCTTACACCGTTTCGTTTAATACTGTTATTCATATAATAAGTTTCCAAAATAGCACGTTATATGTGAAGAGCTGTCTACAAAGTGAATCGGTCCGAAATATTTTGAATAGCTTTACGTCCTTGAGCCAAAATACCCCTGCATACCAATATCTCAGAAATTGTAATGTGTAGGTTAAAAACAAAAATGCAAGGACACACGGACGGACAGGCTTAGATCGATGCAGAAAGTGCTTCTGAATCAATTCTGAATTACTCTAAATTGAATAATACCATAAATGCTAAGTCTATCTCAAGTATTTCTGGGTTTCGCTTACATCTGTATAAGTTTGATATCCCCCTCTACCATAAGTTCCCTAAGGTATACTAGCGATACAAGGGTAGTTAATGAGCGCGGTATACAAAAGGCAACAGGTGTATGATAAATGCTTCTTAGGCTTGCGCAAGGCAAGAGGCAAGAGAAATATCCTAGGAAGGTATGTCCAATAAGAATTTATAAACAGTTGAAGTCAACTTTTTTATTTTTTAGCTAAAAAGTGTAAAGTGAGGTGAAGATCATTGAAAGACCGCCTTACCGAGGACTCCAAAAGTCCAGGTATCGCTTTTGTCACCCAATTTGGTTCTCAATCATCATCTACCTGCAAAAAGGATTTGTCCTATTATTATGATTACTAATACTGTTGCGGAAATTCCAAATCCTGTTCATTCCAGCTAAGTAATAAACTGTCTAAAGAGGGAAAAACTAAATGCTTATTCGCAGCGCGCCATGCAGCTGCCGGCCGAAAAAAACGAGTATCAGAAAAGCAGGTTAACGAATTAAAAACGAAATTATAAAATTAGGTATAGCAATATGATTGTAAAAATGTATATATAAATAGAATATTTGTGGAAGGCAAAATTAGTCGGACAAGAACATTTGAGCCGAGAGTACTGACAAAATAAATTATGAATAGTCCTACTGTTAAGAAATATAGTTGTAAATAAAGGAAATTTGAAGTGTATTTCTCTTGATCAAAATATCCACGATCCAGTGATACGGACTGTATCTTAGAAAAGCGAATTTCATAATAATACCATATTATATTTTTTGATTAGTCTACTTTTCATTGTATTAGTGTAGTACATAGTCATCTTACTATTCCATTTTCTATCTTACATGTACTTAAGTGAATATTATTTCGAATTATTTTATAAACATGTATTGCTATACCCCCTGCAAATGTTCACTTATACATATGCACTTTCTCTAAGCAAATGTAGATAAGTTCTAGAGGAATTAACAGAGTGTAACGACTATTTGCACAATTTGATCAAAAAAAGACGATTATGGCACTCAGCTCATGTCAGCTGGTTTCGAATCTGATTACAAGTTGATGGCCAGCACCGATCATGACAAATAGGTATAGAGAAAATCAAGACAGCATTTCCTCTTTCTCTCTGTTGGTAGCCAGCGTGCTGAAAAATTGTAAGTTGGAAAATCCGGCTAGAACCGTGTATATTTGAATCCCTGAGGAGCAATTTTGGAAAGGAATGCGAAAAAATAGGAGGACTAAGCTAGGCGAACTGTGACGCTTGACTGCAGGAAGAGGACTAGTCTAGTCAGGGACAGCGTAAATTCTAGGGAGGTATATTGTAGATTTCTTCTAGTATAAAATTGATTGTCATTAAATAAAGCGTGTGGCCTTAAGCAGTTAACGAAATTTACGTTTCCCGGAGTAGGAGAAGGTCAAGGTAAGTGTCTGTCGATTTATAATAAACTGTTGAACGACTGGGTAGCGAGCTAACTCCTGCAATTAGTTAGGCAAGGAATTTTCAGCAGCAATATAACGTCAGACGGGTAGACGGCCAGACAGGCTTAGAGCAAATCAGAACATCAATCTGAATCGATCGGTATAATAAAAGATGAGTCTATATTAAGTCCTTCTGTGTGTTCCTTACGATCGTACAAACTTAATACAACTTGCACTGCAACTGATGTGGGGTATAAATCACTTTTTAAAGAGATATTTCACTTTATTATTTTCGCCTTTTTTCATTAACGTTCATGTAGATAAACGCTATCCATAAGCAAGGCAAGCAAGCTATGGGTTCAAACCAAGAGGCGTACAACGCAAATCGCAATCATTATGTTCAGCGTGTGTACCCCTGTAAAGTATGTACGGCGTGTAAAGATATACGAAATACATTGTGACTCAATACAAACAAGCAGCTTTCTTCTTCGTAACTACCACCTTTACAATTCTCTAGTTTACCTCACACACCATGTTTGTAGATTTGCTTGAATTCATATTTCCCTCAAAAATTCTTAGTTGGTTTATGAATTTTTAAGCAGAAGTAATAGTTTCAAAGCAAATGAAAGCATACTTACCTGGCGTAGGGGTTACCGTGATCACGAAGGCGGTTCCCCCGGAGTGAGGCTTGGCCATTGCACTATCGGTTGAGTTGACCTCCGCGATTATTCCTAATGTGAATAACTCGTGCGTGTAATTTTTGATAGCCGGGAATGGCGTACGCGCCGTCCCGACATATTTAAATTAATTTAAAAGTTTTAAGCAGTAGAGAGAAGAAGGGTGGTGAGAGGGGTTATTGTGATTTACTTTTACTTAATTTGTAGCTTATTGAAGTCACTACAGCGCGGGCGTCCTTAGAGAAAAACTGCTATATATGGGGTGTGTGTGTGTTGTTTGTATCAACTCGTGTTGCTTAAGATGAACGAACGATAAGGTAAAGAAAGACTAGCGCGCTCTTATTTGCTTTCGTCAACATATCATATTATGTACATAGATTCTGTATACCATAAAACATTTGCAAATTGAAGAAATCTTCCATGGGTAGGTATAATAACAAAAGATGTTGTACTTTGTTTCAGCCAAACCTCCATTACCATCTTTGCTGTGATATTAATGCTGTGCGGTTTAATTAAAGCAAGATAGAAAAACATATTTGTTCGCTTAGTATGTCGTTTCGTATATATCGAACATATGTTCAACGATGTATACGAGTCTCCTAAGCCTCATTGGACTTGCTTTCTGTATCATTTTTCGCTATTCGTGAGCCGATGTACGATCTTAGTCCACTAGGAATGATAAGAAGTGATGTGCGTTTGTTTTTATGGATAAACCCTTCAAGCTATCGTTGACTGCTCGACAAAGAGAAGGCCGTGATGCGAATATGGTATTCCCGGCCTTCAAAACGAATAATATTTTCTATGGTCGCCAGCGTATTACCATATGGTTCTTTTAAGGTTTTTAATACTTTATTGGCCCTTCCCTTCCCATCCATCTACATGCTAATCCCAGGTAGGCGTCTCAGAATAGATATTATTGGCGAAATCAGTACAAAAGTCTGGATTGATTTGGGTATGTCTGTTCGTGCGTGTGTGCGTTTGTTAAAAATATTCTACCAATCGCAAAAATGAAGATATCGTTTAGAAATCCCGCAAAAATATTAGCATTTGATGCATGCAAGTTGGTATTGAAAATGGTCAAAACCGGTGAGAGAACACGCCTTGCAGTCTAATATAAACTAAGATCACAAACTACAATAGAGATACAAAAAACAATTACCACGCATATTCTACATGAATGGAGAAGAAATTAACCATGCCCACCCAATATTATGGAGAGTGGAAATTTTACTTTAGTTTCTTTTTTTTTTTAAGGTAAATTAATGTGTTCAGGTAAAAAGGATTCGCTCAAAGCCGAATACGATTTTCTTATTTGTCTAAGTTGTAAAGTTAGTGGACATGAAGTATTCGGCCACGAATGGGTATAAAAAATTTTTATGTGCTTTTTATATACATCCTCTCCAAAGTCATAACTTTTCTCATAAATATTTTATGGATATTTGTCTGATTTTCGCTTATGAAAATACAATGTTTGTAAACATTGTTTGGCATCGGAAAACCAATATGATTTGCTTAAAAACCATTACTTATTTATACCGTGTATCCGTATTCATCCCTGCGGACATATGCATACATTGTTCAAAAAAGTTCATAAAAATACGTACATGGAATTTATTATTAAATCTTTGATCTATCTCATATAGTCTTACGGATATGTGCTAAGCAAACGTAAAATTTTCACAATATTGAAATTCTCTACGGTATCATGCTTATGCTTGCATAAAACATAACAACAATTTGTTTTTTTTTTCATAATACAAAAAAATTTTCATTGATCTAAATAATAAAAAAAAAAGCTATAAAGTTTAAAATAAAACTCTACAAACTTTCGTTAACTTTCGCGTAAGCATAAGCCTTAGTAATTAACAGTTTATGAGTTTCTTAAATTAGATAATACTTTTATAATGAAATTTTCTTTGTCAAGTTGCTTAACTCAACAGGTACTCGTGTACGTAAATGCTATGGCATTCGCTTTCATTGCGAAACGACATAAATTCATGTCAATTATTCCTATCATCGAGGGGCGGCGGGTGTATTTATTTTGCCAACACGTTTGTAACGAGAATAAAGCTTCAGAGACCTCATAAAGTATATGTATTCTTGATCAGCATCACATTCTGCTTTGATTTAAGCATATACGGTTGTCCATCTGGTTGTCTGTCCGTCTGTAATGTGTCTTGTAAGCATTACCTTGGTCGCAAAAATGAAGCTATCAACCTTAAAATTAGCGAAACTATTGGAAACTCTTTCAAGCAGTTTGGTATTGAGTGTGAAGCAAATCGGTCGAAGGACATGCCTACAATACCACGTAAACTGAGAACGTTTTTGTTTTTCAAAAGCAAAAAACATTCAGTTTTTTGCTCATTGCTCATAAACTACAGCACATATATGTACAAAAATTTGAACGTATATTTTATGGGCGATCCTGTAGCAATATAAACAGAAAAAATTGACCACTCTTACCCAATATTGTAACGTATTAGAATTTAACTTTTTTTCAATACCTTTATAACACGCAGAAACAAGCTTCAAAAACCCCGTAAAGTATATATATAGATTCTTTGTCAGTTTCAAATTTGAAATGCACCTAAGCATGTTCGGTTGTCCATCTGGCTGTTTGTCCGTCTCTGTAATGTCTGCTTTACCATCCCCCTGGCCGCAAAAATGAAGCCAGTGCCTTAAAATTTGAGTGAGACATTCGAACTTGTTCCACGCAGGTTGATACTGAAAATGAAACAATCCGGTCCAAATACACGTCTACATTGCCACGCAAACTGAGAACCCCTCTGTTTAAAAAAAAAAAAAAAAAAAATACAATTTTTTGTTCATAACTCACTTCAATCATTTTCTTTGGCCAATACTTTACTTGTACAAAGTGGTGAAAATTGACCACGCCTACCCTAATGCTGTAATGTACCCCAATTCAATTTTTTTCCAATGCCACTATTACGCGCATTTCAAAAACCCTCTAAAGTATATAAATTTTGGTCAGCATCAAATTCGGAACGCACCTAAATATGTCAGCTTAGTCATCTGCCCATCTGTCCGCCTGCTCTATTGTATAGTATCTGTGGTGAACGTTCTCTGGTTTGAAAAAACATGCATGTCGCCCATAAATTTTAAAAATAGTTTGAAAATGACCAAAAGCGGTCAAAGGATCCGTGTACAATGTCACCATTGGCTCCGCAATAAAAAGTGAGAAGACTTTCGCTTTACGTGTTTTTTTCTCGCTACCCATGAACTACGACAGATACATGGTATAAATTTCAACTTTTATGCGAAAAAATAGAAAAAGTCGGCCAAGCCCATTCAATACTATAGAGTAGGAACATTTAAATTCTAAAATTAATATGCTGGGCACCATCCAACTTAACCCAAAGTAGTTAAAACTATATCTAGAAACAAATGCTTTTATATAAAAAGTAATTAAACAAAACTTAAGCATCATCCTGGACCTTTACAACGAGTTTCGAGACTTTAAGCACAACGCGTACCAATAGGCAACTCACCCATTTATTGATTATTATCATTAAGGTCTGATATTGGTAATGTACGTGCCCTTAGAAGAGTTGATTTTAGAATCAGGATAATTGAATCATCTTGTGAACCTTGTAAGTGGGGTAAATAATTCCTTTTGCAAAGGCTAAGTTTTAACAACTGGCTACTTGCAGTGGACCAGATGGGAGCGTTAATGTAGATTTCACCCAAAATAGCTTTCGCGTTGACAGCTCCATTAATCAGTTTCACCAAAAATTAGATCCCAAGTATAAATCGATGTTTCTCCAGAGTGGGTAATGATATGAGTAGTAATTTATCTTCATATAGTGGGAGGGTTACAAGGGGGTCCCGTGGCATATTCCCTAACGGAGAAAGCAGAAATTGTTTTTGCGCCGATTCGATCGCATTCACATAACAGCGATAGGACAGAGACCGCACCTATTCAGTGTAGTCCAATATTGGTCTAACTAACATAATGTACAGTCTCTTCGTATATGTATATGGGTCGTTGAATTCACGAGCCCAGCGCTTACCGAAGATCAATGTGGGTCGTGTTTTATTGATAGCGGTTGAAATGTTTAGATAAATTTGTCCTTAACAACTCTGCTCATATAGGTATCAGATAAAAGGGCTTAGAGAATAGAACGCGAAAGGCTAAGTGAGTTAATTCTAAATTACTGTAGTGTACGTCTCGACGCAGATTATCATGGATTAATTTTTCTTAACAATAACTTTTAGTGAAGTGAAAGGTGAAACATAGATTTTACCTTAAATAAAAGCTTAGGGAGCCAAAGATTTTCATGATTATGTGTATGCGGGACTCGATCTTAACCACATATAACTTTCTTTTGAAATTTGATATCGTAGCAAAAACGGACTTTGAGAAGAAATTTAAATTTTACGACTTTAGCCCGCCACGAGCTGGGACTTTAATTTATTTAGCTTCTTGGAGAGCTCTCTAATCGTTATGTATCGACCAGCTTTAATCAGAACCCTTAGTTGGATGTCATCAATGGCACTTGGACTACCAGAACAGGTACGTTCAGCTACAGCATTAATTCCCTACTTAGCAAATATTTGCTTATGTGCTTTTCCAGCTATTTTACTTTTTGTGTAATGAAATATTTTAAAAAACGCTCACTTTGGTCTTCCACGTCCTACATACGCCTCACTACTACTGGACAACCGATTACTTTGAAAGTTCAAGTGAAAGAAAACTTAACAATAAGCCTGGTCTACTTAAGTACATATACTTTTAACCCTAATTATCTGTCTAGCTATCTGAAAACTGTTATTATAGCCTGGTATAGTGAAAAAACCGCAAAAAATTTCCGGCCCACCTAGTATTTTAATATAATAATAGTTTGGAAAGATTACCCTTTCAAATCAAGCCATAGGCTGAGGCTAATTATTTAACAGAGCTATGGTAAAGGTTTTGGTAAATACCTTAAGTATTTAAATTCAATTTTTATCTTCACACCCCTTTTTTGTAAGACCATGCCCATTCTAATAAAACGAAAATTGACAAACAAAAAATGAGGTTCAAATCACCTCAAGCTCATACGATGATTACGCATTTTTCGCGTTGATGCGATCTCTAAAGCATTTTTTTTTTTGATTAGTACGGACGGACATCCAAATTCAGAATATTGTATTGTCTATTGTGCACAAATAAATCACTAAGTATGAAGTAGAAAAATCATTAATTTATTTAAATAAGAATTAGTTTTGTATATATGTAGATATGTTTTTTTTTTTTAATATAACTCTGCTTACCGTGAATTAAACAACAAACAAGTAAGACAGTGTATGTATCCAATGATGCGTTCATTTCCGCTGCATTATAACTTTCACACATTTATTCTTCTTTTGATCTCAGTTTTTCATGTTTATATCATTCTTTTCCTTTAATTAAGAAGAAAATTTTTCAAAAAATTATTATATATTTAATATACAATAGTTAGCTACATAATTGCTTTTCCCTCACTATCTTGTAATCATTATTATGTCAACTTATTTGATTTGTTTTCCAGTTACAATCATATATTTTAGTAAACTATGTTAACTAAAGATATCATTTTATCAATTACGTCATATTTTATTTATGATGCTTTTATTATTACTTTTCATTTATATGTATGCATATGAAGTCTAATGAAAGAAACAAAAGAATATTTTGTAAATTTAATTAAGAATATTATTGCTTTCATGTTGCCTTTAGAATAACCACCGAAGCATAGAAGGTAATATTAATTTTGTTGTATATGTGAAACGTGCGGGGACGCTTGATAAAAGCAAGGTTCGGAAATTTTACACGGTTTACATAAATAGATGTGTACGTATAGATAGATATATATATATATATATATGTACATACACATGTATACTCATATACATATAAATACATATATATATGTAGGCAGATTTGAACGCATATATGTATATATATAAATATTTATATATGTATGTATTTTTATATGTATATGTATGTACATACTATATACACATTCATATACATATTTATATACATATATCATATATGTATATATTATACATATAATATATATATAAATTATACATATAATGTATACATATATGATATATGACACGATAATATGATATATGTTATATAATACAATTTTTATATATATGTGTATGAAGCTTTGAATTGATTTAAACATCTCGAACTATCCGTCTGTCCATCTTCTTACCTATGTAACCTCTATGATAAACGTTCCACCGGTAGTAAAAGCGAATACGTTGACTTAGGTTGTACGCCTGCAGTGGAAAATAAATTAAAAACTACCTTTCTTTTCTCATAAATTACAACAAATATACAATAAAAATTTTCACGCATTTTCTATTGATAGAGGTGGAAAAAATTTGCCATGCCTACGCCATTTTCTAGAATATCACAAATCAGCTTTTTTTCGGTCACAGCCCTATATCATTTTTTTTTCTTCCTTGTTATTCCATTATTTTCTTTTTCTTTAATTTCTTTTTCGATATATTCGCAGACTTTTATACGCAAATGACTTCAATAGGTATTGTATGTAAATCAATCAGGCCTGCCTGAACTACATTCAACGCTATTTAGATTTGTTCTCACTTTCCTTTACATTGTTAGAAAATATAATTCGATTTTTCACAAAAGAATGAAAACGCGTAAAAAAAAAAACGAAAATGAACACAACTACTAAGCCAATGAAATTCTTCTCTCATGCTTGAAATAAAAAAATTAATAACTACTGAGAATAATGAGTCGTTAAATAGCCCTCGACGCTGACCAAAGTTTAAGAATGTGGATCGTTCCTTGATCTTTCTATTAGGGTGGATTGAACTGTATCCTAAGGAGCGCTGGTTATCATTTCTATTTAACGCGCTACGAAGTTATACTCCGCTCGTATGTCTCATCGTCTATCTGCCCTTTCGTCTATCTATCCTCTGGCCTATGTGTCCTTTCTGTCCATCTTTCCTTTCGTTTATCCGTCCTTTCGGCAATCTGTCCTCTCGTTTATCTGTCCTTTCGTCCACGCGTCCTCTTGTCCATCTGTCATTTTGCACATCTGTCCTTTTGTCTATCTGTCCTTTTGTCTATCTTTCCTTTCGTCTATCTTTCCTTTCGTCCATCCGTCCTCTGAAGCGCAAAGTGTATTTCCGTTTTACTGCTCAAAAGAAAAAAGAAAAAATTGTGAGTGGTAAAGACGGAAATTTGGATCACAGCCGAATTACGAAGTGTACAAGTTAAGGGGTGGAAAAACTTGCCGGGACTCATGTGTTGGTCGGTTCGGCCTAGAAATACCTCTCAGCTCTTTTAGAAACTAATTTTGAGGTTAACGTCAATGGAACTTATTCAATTAGTTGACCTGTTCACTAAGTTTCCCAGTAGATAAATACGAGATAACTAAAATAACAATTCCTTGATTAAAACGCATGTTAAGTGCATTACCTTTCGAGTTTCCTTTACTTGTTATTTATGTATTTTACATATTTTCTAAACTCTTTTCGGTAAAGCGGATTTAAATGTCAATTTAATGATATCGTATTAAAAAAAAATTGCAATAAACAAAAAACTTTAAGAAAACTTTCTCTTGAATGTGTCTTAGCATAGATACAGTTAAACAGTTTTGACTTTCTAAAAAGAAAAAGATTATATATATAGGGACATCAAATAAGTGCTTTTTTTTTAATTTATAATAAAAAGTAAACAATAAAAGATATCATCATGAATTTTCCTTTATTTTAGATTCGATTGCGTTATGTCGTTTTTATTTCAAAATGATTTCATGTAAATGAAAGTCCCTTGCACTGATGTAAAAATTCCATTGTGCAACACAAATCTTTGCCACTTTTTCACATTACAGTTAAACTTGTTAAAGGAAAGCAATATTCATGTTCGTTAGCATTTCACAATAGTTTTGGTCCAATGTAAAATTAATTGTGAGCTATTCAGGCCATTTCGGCGTGTCTGTAGGAGTTGTAAGGAATGTTATTTGCTTTGCTGTTCTTATGATTCCATTACATATAGCAAAAAAGCTCTTCGTTGGGATGTTCAGAATTGAGTCGATCCATCTATAGTCGCCAGATAATATAATATTGTGTCTAAAAATTAGGCTGAATTTGTTTATAACCGCATAAATCTCTATTTATATTCATTTTGTCAAAATGTTTGAAACGCCAAGAAGGAAGCATCAGAGACCACGTAGGGTATACATATTCTTGATCAGCATGTCTGTCTATTCGTCTATGCAATGTCAGTTGCAAACATTCCCTCCTCAAAAATGAAGCCATCGATCTTAGGTTTATCACAAACATTGAAAGTTCTTACACTCAGGGTAGTGTTGACAAAGGGCCAAATCGGTTGAAGGATACGCCCACAGCACCACGCAAACTGAGCATACATATGTTTTTCCAAAATATTAAAAAATTGCTTTATGCTCACTACTCAAAAACTGCAGTGCTTATGTATACAAAAATTTGAGCGCACATTTCATGGATGATGCTTCTAGCACTTGCACAAGAATGGGAACAATTGACCAAGCCTATTCAATGTCATAGTATATCAAATTTTAATTTTTTTTCAATACCTTTATAAGGCGCCGAACCAAGCTTCAAAAACATCATAATGTGTATAAATTCTTTGCCACTTTCAAATTTGTAACGCACCATATCCTTCTATTCATCTGGCCGTCTGTGTGTCTGTGCAACAGTGTGGTATTTGTGGTAAACGTTCTCCCGCTAGCGAAAATGGAAATATCACCTAGGAACTCGTAAAAGAGTTTGGAAGCGACCTAAATTTTTCAAAGGGCACTCCCACAACGCCCATAAGCCTATTCGATAAATAAAAAAAATCAGCTGTGCCCACTATATACCATGAAGCATGAAAATTTAGATCTTTCTTTTTTATTTTGTCTCTCTTAAAGTAACGATGACGGGTATAAAAGATTCGGTTACGTCCGAATATGATTTTCTTACTTGCTCTTTTTCGTTTTTTTTTTTTTTTTTTGGTTTTGGCAATGTTTGCGTTTGTTGAACACCGTAGTTTAATTTTGTTTGCGATTATTATGGAAGATGAGTCTTGGATGTATGCACAGGACCCGGAAACAACCGATCGATCGACCGAATACGATGCAAGCTCGAGCGAATATCGAGCCAAGATCGAAAAAATCGCATAAATGTGGCTGAAAAATCAAAGTTTTCTTCAATTATCGTGGTATTGTGCACTATGATTTCCTTCTCCGAGGCCAATTTGTTAACACGGAATATTTTTCGAGTATTATGAAAGCGATAAAATTGATTTGAAAGAATAGATAAAGATTTTTGAGGTTATAAAATAATGCACCTAATTTTTTGAACACAGTAATGTATGTTCCTATACAAGTCCTGCATGCATTAACTTGCATTGTTGATAGTCATAATCAGTAAGTTTTCAGTCCTATGAATTAATTAATTAATTAGTTTACTAGACAATGTAAGGAATATCCCATTGCTTCAAGTACGAGTTATGCAATCTTCCTTATATCGATTAAGGAGATAAAGTTTATCTATGTACCTTTATGTTTATTTGTTAATTGTCCTTCTAAGCTTATTGCATCAATTATAAGAAAATATCACTTCAAAATCCAGTTGTATGATTACTGTCGATAAATGAATTCTCTTTGAAATGAATAAATCTGCTCTTACTTCATCAGTGTTGATGAATAAGGTCGTTGAGAGTTCTTGGTTTACTGGGATAAGCGAATGCACCTTCATAAAGCCACAATAAAAAGGCAGTAAGAACCAAAGCCGCACGACTTGATTTGGTTCTACACGTAGTAATAAGTAAGTAGTAGTATTACGTATTGACGTAGAATAAATATATTGTTCTTGCCACTCGTTTTCTTTTACATTAAACAGTTAGTTATTCTCTTATGAGTGCCTTGGGGACGCTATATGCTATAAGTAAAGACGCAATGGAATGGGAATATCGAATTAGAAATGTGTGTTAGCTGATATACTTCGGATGTGATCAATTAAACGGATCCTATGTGAATCGAGGTATCAAGTGCAGGAAGAGGACACGTTCCGCCGACCATTAAAACATCCATCATCGTCCGCTTGGACATACACATCATAAATGCCAAGTGTCGTATATTTCTATAGAAGACCACCATTTTCGTTCGACTATCATCGGGGATGAGTTATTTAATTTGAAGTTCTTCATTTAATTACTGATTACTAGTCGTGGGTTTCGTAGACTTCCTTCATTCCACTACCTTTCTCGCATATATATATAATATCATATAGCATTTAGACGTTGAGTTAGGCGCTATCCGTAGAAGGTAAGTCTCTTATGAATAATAGCGTTTAAGCAAGCAGTAGAATTCTTTATTGGTATGGGGTAAATATAAGCATCGAAGGTAAGA